CAATAAAATCTTGGCAGTGCACCAAACCTTGGCATTAAATTGACAATGCTTCTAGGACACAAGCTATATTCCAATCAGATTATGTTGCATTAATCACATTTGCACAAAATAAAACCAGTATTTTTCAAGCCTCATTTCCCCTCCTTTTTTATTAAAACCATTTTCAGCAGCCATTGATAATTTCATTATCACTTTCTGGAGAACACAGAAGCAGCAATGAATTAAGCACAGGAAAAGCATTCCAAATGAAAGCATTCTGTCTGCTGATACTACCTCTTATCTACTTCAGAGATAGAAGATAAACTTTCAACAAGGCCGTAACTTTTGGAGAAGAAGAGTAGTCACAGAGGAATCTTTTCAAGCACAATTGAGTTTGTAATTCTTACTTACTATCCTTCTCCATCTGCCAACGGCCCAGTGTGAAATTACAGCCAGTTTGGGAACCCCACTGCTTTAGCTCTGCTCCTGTCAAGGGACATCTATCCATCACCTCATTGTGCAGCCTGTCCCATTTAAGAGCTGGTAATGCCAAGGCCTCCTGCATTATTTGGATCCAGATCTAATAATTAAGTGTAGCTCATACTGAGTAGGAAGCAGCCAAATATAATGCTGTGTGAAACCAATCTTTCTCTGCTTCATTTCCAATGGGTGTCACCAGCTCCTCAGGCTCAGGTGAGTGTCACAGTCCAGACTCTCCACTGACATACCTTTATTTAACTTTAGGCACTTAGCAGTAAACACAAAACGGAGAAGGCTGTGAATCTTTTGGATTGCTTGCAACATTTCTCTCTACCAAAGCATGAGCAGTTTTGACAGTACTGGTGAAAACAGGCAGGCAGACCAGAATTGTTAGTGACTGTTGATCTTCTGGCTGGATGAATAAGCAGAGATGAATCATTCACATAATAAATGAAACTACTATTTAGCAAACAAAAAATAACAGCAATAGGAACTTCAATCTCTCTAATTTAAACAGGAATCATTCAATAATTCTCAGTTCTGTCCTGACAGCAAATTCAGCCCTGGGTGTAACACAGAGGCTTCCCAAGGAGCAAGGGCACAGTCTGGAACTGGCAGGGCCTTGCTCCCAGGCTGGCAGGCAGCAAGGTCAGAGGCAGGGAATGAAGGGCTGCAAAACATCACAGAAACTTGTCTTAACCTCCACTAACAGCAAGGGCTGAAATAGCTGATGACTCCTGCTTGTGTCGACTGCTGCAAGACTTTAAACAGAAACTACTTAACTAAGCACACAAACCACAGTCAACCCCTCCTGTTCTTCCTGCTCTTTCCACCTGCCTCCCAGTATGCTGGGAAAAGTGTGCTTTAAAAAGCATTATTTCATGTACTAAATGTGATTCCCAAACAGACTGAATAGGAAGAGGACAGCCAGTTTCATACAAAACACAGACTAGATCGTTAACCTAGGGAGATTTGGAAGTTTCCATACATGTAAGAGATCTTATTCACTCCAGGAGAATACAATAACAATCCTTTATGGGAAAACAAGAAATCTAAAACCTCTTAGAGTTATTTCAATTTGCTTTCATTTTATTTTCCCAGCAGTCAAAATTAATTCTAGATGTAATCACTGTTATTACAAATTCAGCTATTTAAGGTCCATCATTTCTCAGACAAAAAATCTAAAACCTTTGGATCCTTCTACACAAAAAGACTTTGTTTGCCCAACCCAACCACTAACAGTGTTTCTCAGTCCTATGCAAGGAAAGAGACAAGCACAGTCGGGGAACACAGGAGTTATTTACAAAAATTCGAAGTTTAACCTAATTTTGGCTTGAAAGTGAACAAAATCACTGTGCAAATGCTGTATAGCCTTGAATTCTTTTAAATTCTGAGTTAAATGTTCTTTGATACCTCTAAGAAGTACTACTCTATAAAATAGCACATGAAATTGTACTTTATGTGCAATGCAACATGATGATACTAAAACTGTTCTCAGCTGGCAAGCTGACATTCTCAGAAATGCTGGTACTAGAACACGATCACTGCAGCATGTGCATGGTAGCTGTTACTACAGACTTCAAAATGGAAATGCCATGTCCCTACCAAAATTAGATTATTCTAGACAGAAAAGATGGTTATTGTAAGTAGATCTGTGTTCTTAAATTCATAAAGTACAGGAATAAAACTGTCTCAAGCTTCTAAAGTTCAACATACATGAATGATTCTGACTACTGAACCACCTTCTAAGGAAGACTTCTAGTGCTACCAGTGGTCATTGATTTGGAAAGAAGAAAGACACAAGACAGAGGTACTTCTTTACAAGACAGGTAATTCAGTGTGTATCAAAATAATCATTCTGAGATGGCAAATGTATGACTGTCATCAGTCTATTTCTGATGTGAAAGTACACAACAGAAGGGGATGTCACATACAGATTTTGGCAGGGTCAGTGACTCTGCCTGCTTTAAGTTGTTGAATACGAAGATTGTGCTTGGATATTTTAAAAAGCTCTACAGAAAAGTAACCTAGCAATGTCTGAAAGTAGAAATGCAGAAAACTAGACGAGGAGCTAATGACACTGGAGATGCTTCTGTTCTTTTCTTTGGCCTATTTACTTGTTTTGAATGGTCTCCAAAAGGCTTCTGCTCAGCATGAGCCATCTGGTATGCAGATACCATTTCCAGATGTTAAATTACATATAAACTGGCTTTTTACTTTTTTTCTTTTTTTAATCAAGAGAAGTAGCATGTCCATGTGAAAGAGTGGATAAAGGATAACGTGACCAATCAAAAAACACAACAGGGTCTCATGAATGCACTAACTATAGCATATTACTGTAATACTTCACTTGTCCCATTTCTTCATTATAATTTCAAATTAATTTATTGTAATTGTAATCATATTCTAACACTACACTCTTTAAAGCCCCTGCAGTGGATAGTATTTTTTCTTGTATGCAAGCTATAAGTAGCTAATAATGGTCAGATAATAAAAGCCCACATGGAAAGGAAAGGATGGCTCTGAGACATAAGAAAATAAACAGGTAATTTCAAAGGTTAATTTCCAGTTTGAGTGGAAAAAGGGGAAATAGTACTTACCAGTCATAATGTTTTTCATCTGCAAAAGGCTTTCCAACCTAATTACATTCTCACAACTCCTAGTGAAATGATCTGCAACTATTATCTCTGTTGTACCATGGAAGAAGTCACAGGACAGCAGCTTACCCCAGAGGGGTCCAGATTTCCAGTTTTCTACTCAGACCACATCCCATTTCTTTTTCTGCCTCACACCTTGTCTCTCAACTCCCCCAAAAGCACTGACTTTGCCTGCTCAACTGGAGCACTGTGATCTTCCAGCCTTGGAAGTCCCAGGCTTTTATGTCCCTAGTACTGCTTTAGGATGCTTGAAACATTCATTTTTTCCTTTCATCAAATCAAGCATCATTTTGTGGATAACAACACATTTGCTCTGTGTTTACAGGGACATTTGAGTAAAATGAACAGTCAGATAAGCAAGGACAGTGCTGAAGCTGTCCTTCTGTCAGGATGAAAATTAGCAACAAACTTCACGCTCCACACCAGTCCCACTGGGATCACCTGGGTCCTTGGGGAAGTGCCACCACTTCCTTTGCAAATGGCACAGAAGTTGTTTTTCTGTTACTGAAGAGAAACCCACAACTTTTTTTTTTTTTTTTTTTTTTTAAGCATTTATTCTTGAACTGTTTTTCATGCACCCCTTAAATGCACTGCCACAAGACTGTCACAGCTGGGAAACACAAACAGAAAGCACGTGCCTGCAGTCATATTCAGCACAGATTAACAATACACTTCATGATTTAAAAAGTGGCAAGAACTTTAAACAGATGTATAAATAAGGTGGGTAACAACCAAACCTTTTATGTAACTTCTTTGTAGATAAAAGAACACAAGGAACTGATCTAAATATAAACTACAATTACCTGCCACAATCTCCAAAACTGCTCCTTGCAGTTGAACCACGAGCCTATGGAAACCTTCCTGCCCTTCACTTAGCCTCTGACCCTCACACTGTCCCCAGCCACATTACTCATCTCTCATTCCTTCTCAGTACACAGTAACCAGATGACCATAGCTGACATACTGCATTAACCTATTATTAGGTGACCCTGACACTACCTCACATTTTTTCAGTTCATATACACAACAACCCTAAACTGAAATATTAGTGGTGATAGGAACTTTTTATCCATAACCTTGGAAGTGGTAATGAGAAAGAAGGCAGGATAGTACATGACATCCTCAGTTACAGCCTGTGTGATACTATAACCTAGGAAATTGGAAGTGAGCTTTTTATCTCTTCCTTAAAATACGTAACATGAAAGTCTGACTATGAAGAAAATGGTAGCTTTATTTCCTCTCATCAAAAGTCTCAGGGAACTTGACTGTTGAGTATCTGAAAGATGGAGAAGTCATGCAAGCAATTTTATGAAACCAAAAGATCTTATGCAACCTCCCAAAGCTTATCTGTCGTAAAGAATGGGCAAAGCTTTACGAATTAACTCGTTCAGCTGACACAAGGCACTGCCCCTGTCATGCCCCTTCTCAAAATGAATCACTGATGTGCCTAACACAGGAAGGGGAAAGAGGAAAACCTATTCAAAATCACTCTTTCAGGACTAGGAGAACCTGCTGGCCAAAGGTGTAGCCTGCTCTATGCACCAAGGATGAAAGAAATCACCTTGTTATTCAAAGCCAAGCATGCACAAGGGGCATTGTCAAAATACAGTGGAATCTAAGGAAGCAGACTTATTAAGCTTTGGTTTTCTCAACACCCATAAGCACTTGAAACTGCACCACAGTAATATGGCTTATGGCCAAATGCAGATTGCAAATAACAAATTTAAGGGAAACACCTAACATGAATGTGCAACAAATAGTGAAAGATACATTTTCTAATAGAAGAAGCACCTGTAGCCCAATCAGCTTTTTGCTGTTTTTTGCTCAGCAAGAAGCAATATTCCAAACTAAGTCAGTGTTCAAAAAACTTAAGAAGATACTCACCAGCAAGTGTATAATCCATATCAAAACCAAAGCACTTTATCTTTTCCATAGCTAAGCTTCTGTTTACAAAGACCCTGAAAAGAGAGAAGAAATATCACCAGAGGTATGAGCATTTTCAAAATATTAATGTTTTAGAACAAACACATTCTGCTACTGTCAGGATGTTTGACTTCCATAGGTGAAAATCAGCAAATATACCTGAAAACAGAGTCAAGTCTCATTTTTTGCGAGTTCTCCTGAAGCAAAGCCATGACTTTGCAGAATTATTCTAATTTTTGCTGTCCAAAGACATACACGCATGCATGCACACACACAGGGCCCTCCATGTGACCTGCAAAAATTCCTAAGAATACAAAAGCAAAATCTCCTGAAGCAGAATGCAGACCTCAAAGAATATAAAAATGGAAGCAGTAGATGCAAAGTAATATAATTTGCTTGATTAAAACAAATTATTAGTAAGAAATAAGAAGGAAAATAAAATAATTTCTGTGAATAAATTCACAGCATTTGCCTCCTATTTGGAACTATATCTGGAAACTCAAAGCAAATCCAAACAGCCCCATTTTCACCAATACCATTAAAAACATGTAATAAAGCTCTGTAAAAGAGTAACTGAGAAAAATTTTCATCCACAAGATATGCCATTTCTATTGTGACTTTTTTTTATTTCTAACTCCTCTGAAACTTGCCAATTGCTATTTTGTAAATTCAACTTTTACCATTAATGCTTACTACAAAGAGACTCTAAGCTGAATGCTTCCAGGCCCTTTTAGATGACAGCATTAATACATGATATCCAATTTAGTTCAAGTAAGTAACAGGGTAAAGAAATAGCTCAGAGAATACAACAAAAGCTTTTCTTGCTTCCTGTTCCAACTACAGCAGTAACTAAGCTGCTTATGTTTCCCCAGAACTTTAAAGCATAAAGCAGATCTGCAGTTCAACAGGACTTCTTTCCACCGGCTTATCTGAACTTTAAAAGTGAGAGTCAGAACTCGTCTGTGGCAGGGAAGCTGAGCTTTACAACACCCATCTCAGACCAAAATCCCATGCTCGAGCTGTGATGCCAAGAAAAAATTCTCCCACATGAGAGAAGTCCCAGAGCCTTCATTTATACTCTGATGTCAGCACGTGAAAATTCTCCAAATATTTACCAAGTGCGCTGCCCTGAGCGCTGTCATTATCCTCTTAGGCGTGGCGCGGGGACAGCGAGACGCAATGGAGACGGCAAGCGCGGAGCTGAGCGCTGCACGTTCGGGAAGCCGGGAAAAATGGGAAAGCTGGGAAAGCTGGGAAAGCTGGGGAGGCTGGAAGGAGCCCCGGGAGCTCTGCTCCGGGCAGGTGGCCGGCATTCCGTGCCCTGTCACTCCGCCACAGCCGCGTCTCAGCAGCGCTGCTCTTACCTCATCTCTCACCGATGCGCTCCCTGCTCAGCTCGCAGCCGTCCGATTCATCTACTTGTCTGAATCACATTACAGAATTCCTTTAAAGCTTCCCTGGTACCCAGGCAATTTTGCTTGGATCTGATTTGACTTCAGAAGATCATTATGCCTGAACCAAGCCTTGAAGTACTGTATATCTTCTTGGACAGTGTTCTAGAAAACACATCTGTGGCTAATTTAACCAGTCACTGGATATTGTTGTTGTTCCACACAAATCCACTTGGAATACAGTTTCTCTGGCAATAGTGTACTTTCCCTCCAACCTTGCACACTCTCTCTGGGAGTCACTGTTTCCTGGCAAAGTGCCTGCCTTTGACAATGGGGCTTGTCACTAAGGGGCCTTGGAGGTTATAGATTACACTCTTTTCTAATAGGTTTATGTATTACCTAAAGAAGACAAAGTGATAGGATGGATGCTGGAAACCAGTAAAGAAATGCCTTTTGGAAACATGAGATGGGCTCATAAGTCACTAAAATTCGCTCCTGAAATAGCTGGCTTTTGAGTAGGTGGAGCAAATTATCTGAATCTGCAATCTGAATCCCTGTTTGTCTTTTAGCATTGAGACAGCTCTGATTTACAAGAGACCATGGAGAAGCACTATTTAGTACTAAACAAAGTCTGATACCTTGTATAATGCATATGATTACATGGTGCTGCTGCTGCTGCCAGGAAACATTATTTATTACCTAATTCAAGCATAATTTCTGATCTCATGTTTGTGCAGCTTGTTTCCGAGAACACGGAGCTTTAAGAAGGAATAACATACATCCAGGAGACACCAGTAACATTTTTTATCTAAAATGCAGAGTCCAGTTCTGCTCTTGCTTTTAGGCTTAATCCCTGCAGCATGGTTTTCTGACTGTCTTTACGGGACAGGAGCAAGAAGTGAAATTCAGAGATCACAAGACCATTTCAGAATTGCAACATTTGGTAAGTTTCCCAAATGAGGACAAAAACTGCAAGTACTAAGACACAGCTGAATGCACTCACAAAAAGGGTAATATGACAGTGCCTGTGAAAGGCAGAAACAAGGGAGCTCTGACCCGAGAGATCTGTTCCAGTCCAGCCTGCCTGTGTTTAGATTATGATGACACCAAACTGATCAAAAACCATGGAAAGATCACCAAAGCTCTGACAGATTGTCATGCCTTGCTTTTGTAGTATTTAGAAACTGAACCCAAAACCAGCATAGCTTGAGACTGAAGATCTGGAAAAGTTTTCTGAACAACAAAACAAATAGCACTCATAAGTATATTTTTGTTCCAAAATAAGTCTTTTGGAAAATTACCATAGCAGCACCCTTTGGTAACAGCTGGTGAAGATGCCTCTTTCTCCACCAATTTGCACTTACTGCCTGTGACCTATAAACTGCACTGGCAGGGTCTAATCACACCCCAACTTGGCACATTTCAAGGCATGCTACCAGCTGATCTGATGTGGTAATTACTTCACCCACCAGTGCTGGAGTGAGACAGAGCAAATATTTTAAAAAGCCAAAGAAGGTTATTGCACAACATGTTCAGGACAGGAAATGAGAACACTTTAATCAATTTAAACTTGCATATGCCTTGGCAGATTAAATGTAGACTAAACAGTGGTGAAAAAAAAATATGGGACCATTTTTACTTCTCTTGTGAAGGCCAAGATAGATGTTGGTTTATTTTGTAGGCACTCAGGACCTCAGTTCTAAATCCTGATAAAGAAATTTCCTATTAACAGTGTTCCCCTAGGCACAAGGGAGACAAGGGAGTAAGTAGCTACTTACAGATATTTACTTCCAGAAACTGACCAGCTTAATTCGGGGTTTTACTCAAAGCAGTAAATATCTGCAGTGTCCTAGAAACTAAAATTAAAAGCTGAGATTAAATCTCTAGCAGTTTCTGGGAAGAGCCAGGTGCTTCTCAGAAGCTGCAGACTTAGCCCATTCCAAAGCTGTTCTTAAATTCTAATTGAAAGTACACTCAGCCTGACTACAAGAATACTGATCAAATCATAGGATCACAGAATGGTTTGGGGTCAAAGGGACCTTAAAGATCATCACATTCCAAACTCCTGCTATGGGACACCAGATCAGGTTTCTCCAAGCCCCATTCAACCTGACATTGTGTCTGTTGGCTACAAAAAGGTAACATCTCCTCAGAACAAATGCTATAGAGAAATTACAAGAGTTGTTTTTAATGACTATAAAGCAAGAGCAACCTGAGGGCCCTAAGAACCTTGAACACCTGAATGAAAAGATCCTCTGGTCATGAAAGGAAAGGATGAAATAACAAGTATTTTACAGCTCATCCAGATGAACAAAAATCAAAGAAGCTTCCAGACTACAAAGAGTAGAAATAATATCAGAATAAGAGGAAAACTAAAATGATCTAACATTTTTAGGAAAGGAAGTTTTAATGCAGAATAATTTCTCCACTTGCCAGAATGAGAAGAAATCATACTCTCCCTTCCCCTGAATTTGTTTTTTTCCGTTTAGAAAAGTCACTTCAACTGGAAGCACTGGAGTTAAAATTTTAACTGTTCTAAAAACTTAACAGCACTGGGCAGTAAGACAAAACAAACTGCAGGCACAGCATGAGAATACCCTCTGCATTCCCTGTGCTGAGGCAGAGGTGAACATTGCCCAAGCCCAGTTCCACATCTGTACACACCCGGAGCATCTCCTTAAACAGGACACTGCCTTTCTCCTGCCTGCATCTTTTCCTCCTGATGAAACCCAAGCTTTACATTTCTGCTCTGAGGACTATCCCTGCAAGTCTCTTGTTTTTTGGACTCCCTGTCAGTGTGGCTGGAGCGACACAAGGTGTGGAGCCTGTGGGGAAGGTGGTTCCAGAGCCCATATCCCAGCCCCATGGGCTCTCTGAGCACAGCTGGGACTGGGGAGCAGCACCTGGATTTGGGGTGTCTTAGCCTGGCACAGATCCCCACCTTTGGCAAAACAGACTCGAGGAGCTGTTTTAGGGAAACTTCGAAGCGTGTTTTCCTCTCTAATGAGTTCTTCCTCAAAGATTAAACCCTGCACTTGGCCACAGCAGAAGGCTCTCAGTGACTACAGTATTTATTTTCCTTTTGAGCTCTACGGATTGTGCTGAGTAAGAGAAAAATGTGTTGCATTGCAAGGAAGAAGGAACTGCTGAGCATGCAGCAGTGAAGCCACACAGCCTCAACAGCCACAACTCTGCAATTCATAGACCTTTGTATTTTTACAAGAGAACCGATCTTGGTTTTGTTACTGTTCTTGTCAATCAATTCTGAAGCAGGAACTTAAATCCCAATTCTTCTCAACTGGAGAGGACAAACACACAGAGAGGGAGAAATGTTTTTATTTCATTTGTGAAAAACCTCTAAAGAATTGTATGCCCTGAATGAAATTTGCATTTGTAATTTGACCAGCAAAATAAACAAAATGCACAGAACTTTACAATTAAGGAGGAACTTGGCACATGGCTCACAATTCCTCATAGTGAAAAAATGTAAATTAACAATGTGAGGCAAGGTTTCTGGAACAGAGCATTTCATAATAATTTTCCAAATATGTCTAGAAATACCTTGCAGCATTTAGCATTTTTCTGGGGAGTGTGTTTCACTAAAAATTAAATAAATACAAAGAAAATTGCAACACTGCTGAGTG